CGGGGAGAAGCGCGGGGGCGGGTGAGGGGCGGAGGGCGCCCCAGCCCGCCGGCCCTAACCTCCCAGCCCCGGGCCCTCACCCCGCGCCGACAGTCCCCATCCGCCCGAATCTCGGCCCCTTCCCAGGGGGAGCTGGACAAGTGCCACCGCCGGCCGCTCCCCGCTTCATCCGAGGCTGGCCTGTCCTCCCTCGGCCGAGGGTCCCCACCCCTCGCTCCACTCAGAGGAGAGGCGAGGCCAGCTGGGACAGGCCGGCCGGGGAGTAAGCCCAGGAGGGATGGGGCTGGCTGGGCGGGGAGCGGCCGGGTGTTGACCCTGGGGCCACAGACCCCTGACGCTGACGCCGTGGGAGGCCTGGCGCCCCGAGGTGCAGGTGGGCCCCACCGGGGCGCCAGCGGCCCTGCGGGGGGCTTCATTGCATCCATTGTGTCACTGACTTCTGGCTACAGCCCTGGGGCCAGCTCTGCGGTCTGCTTTTCACGCGGAGGCGACTGGAGGAGGCTGCAGCTCCGCAGGTTACTGGACTTGCCCGAGGGCACCCAGCAGAGCCAGGCTTTGAACACAGGCTGCTCTGACTTCCAGACCTGTGCCTGACTCATGTCTCCCCATCCGGAGTAGACCCACCCATCCTGGGATCCTTGAGATCCTAGGGCTTGCCTGTGCCAGCTCCTCCCCCGCCAGAGAACAATCTGGAACAGTCTCTTCCCAAGAGCAGGGTGAGAGAGGAGTGGCTCCAGTCCCCCACCCAGCCCTTCTGGCCTGATTGAGGCTGTGAGCAGTAAACGAGCTAATGACTCTAAAGTGCAGGGGCTTTGGAGGCTTGGCAAGCAGCCAGGGAATAAGGGCTTGGAGGAGGCACCCCCTTACCCTGGGGACAGCTCTATGCCTACCACTGCCTACCACTGCCACTAGCGGGGTCCCACACACCAAGTCCACCCCTTTTCTGTCTTGGGGTAGCAGAGAAATGCCCCCTGCCCCTGCCCCCACCATCGTCTCCCTACTTACAGGATCCCTGGAACACCAGCAGTTAGGGCAGCTCTCACCCCCACCCCGAGTCCCAGTGAGAGAACTGGGTTGAGGAGAGGCAGAGGCCAGGGACCAAGACCTCTGACACCACGGAGGGGCCAACCATCTTTTGAAATCAACAGCTTCTCCCCGAGTCTGAAATGCCACCATTAGGGGCTCATTTCTTTGGGTCTTAAAGGTCTTCCCATCTTCCAGACTCTGGAAGAGTTCATTCTTTTTGGAAAGGGGTTACCTACAAAATTATCTCACGGAACAGCTTCAAGATTCCCCCCTCCCCATTTTAGATGAGGAAACTGAAGTTTGGAAGGGAAGAGACTGATGCAAATCCGCACAGTGAGTCAAGACCAAAAACAGAGGCCTCATCTCCGAATGCTACCCAAAGATTCCTTGCACAGCCCCCCAAATTTCTACCTTGGAAGGCGTGGGGTGGGAGGAGGCTCAGGGGTCCTTGCTGAGCAGCAGGATCGAACTGGCCAGTTCTCAGCACCCCTCCCCCTGCCCCCCCCTTGGCAGACGGAGCCCCAGGCTCTCTGTCTCCTTAGCCACATACCTTGTCCTGGGGGTGAGCCTCAGTTGGGACCTCCACCTGTTTGGGATAGGAGCCAGGCACCAGAGCACCAGCCCCTCTCTCTCCTTTTTCTTTCTCCTTTCTCTCTTACAGCAGCTGCTTTCTGCCCCACCCCCCCCAGCCCCGCCCCACCAGCTGCAGCTTGGCCCCTAGGGAACCCCCCCCCCACACACACACACAACTTCCCCTACCCACCACACAGGGAAAGACAACTCAGGGGCCTGCAGGAGCGACTGGAGTCTCAGGCTCTTTGCGGGAGCCAGCAGGATGGAGAGGGTCAGTTAGAGGTCACAGAGCGCATTTCTGGCCTGGCTTGGGAGGAAAGGAAAGAGGGAGAGGGTCCTGGTGGGGCTGGAGTCCAGGGCCGCGCTTGGGAAAAGGAAGCCGGAGCACCACCTGCTGGCCGCTCCTGGTATAACCCCAGGTGGACGTAGGGCTTTGGGAGGTGGCAAAGAAATGTGTCAGAGGGTGAGAAGATGAGGGAGAATTGAACGGGCTGTGGCTGGGAGAATGCAGCCTTCCCAGGCCCCAGGGGAGCTTGATTACCTCAATCCTGGGAAAAGTCCCCGATGCCTGGAGCCTGACAACCATGGTGGCTGAGTTATGGTGGGAAGAGGGGAGGGGAGCGGGGTGCGGTGGGATTGAGAAGCACGCTGGGTGACCGTGGGAAAGGGTGGTTGGACCATCTATCTCTCAGCACCAGGCTAAGCAGTAGGCACTCAATAAGTGTTTGCTGAGTGTGTGACAAATTTGCTCTTCCAGCACATATTTATTGAGCACCAATTAGGCACCAGGGTCTGCACAGCACTCTGCAAATACAGCTGCAGTAAATGGGGGAGTGAGTGGCGTCTGGGTGGGGGCCGAGGGGCGGCTCTCTGTCCCTGAGCTGCACTGGCCTCTGGAAGATTCCACAGACATCTCCTGAAGGGCTGGTTGGTCACTTGCTCATCAGTGGGGGGCTGTGGTAGGGTTGTGAGCATTTGGATCCTGCTGAATGTTCAGAGTGGTCCAGAATCCTAACACCTACCCAGGCTGCAAGCACCCACCCAGCTCCCAGGTGGCCACTTAGAATGGAAAGACTCCTGTTCATAGTCTGGATTGTCCCTGCCCTCCAGATATACACACCCCAAATCAGAGGAGAGATCAGGAGATTGATCTGGGGATAGAATAGCTAAGCAGGGCCCTCCCTGGTGACCCAGTGGGTTGGGGCACAGCACTGTAAGTCAGCCACAGCCTCTTCAACGTGAGTTCGATCCCAGGCTCCTGAGGTGACCACATGGTGCAGCAGACCTCTCCTGTCTCGCCCACTGCTCCCCTCAACAGTATATTTCAGTAGATCCACCTGTCCTGCTCCCCACTCTGTCTTTGGTGAATCTTCTCACTGTACCTCTGTCCTATACCCCAGTTCTTGTATGCATAAATAAATAA